AGAAACACAGACCATTGCAATCGAAAGGCTCCTACATCCACCTGCATTCCATAAGGCAGCTTTTTGGAAATACAGATTCTGGTCTCCACCCAAACATTGAGAACTACACTCTCATGGTTTGGGCCCAAGAATCTGTATCTTAAAAGGACCCCAGATGATGCTGTTGCACCTAGAAACACACACACAATATAAAAACTACTTATTCACAAAAATTTGACTCATACTGGGTTTGTGCATCACAGATATTCAAAACTGTGAATCAGAACAGTGCAAATAAAGTATTTCCTATACACCGTGAAAATAACTTTGATGATTAAAAATTATTACAGAGCATGAAAAAAAATTTAATGATTCTTAGATATTATAGCAAGAACAGAAAAAGACTTACTCTAGTATACAGGAATTGAAAGCAAATTCAGAGGTTAAGCATGTGGGATGTCTCCACACTGTTTAGGCAAATAAATAATATCCTCAGCAATTCACATTCAAGATGTTAATTTTCAAAATACACATTTGACTTCACTGCCCCACAATCAACTCCAGAAGTCAAACAACTCTCTTTTCTTCTTCTTATCTTGGTCAATCTTTTTAAAAGCCAGCACACACACAACAGATGTGGGTTTATCTTGACCAACATCCACTGAAGAAGGTCTCTTGATCTTTGTGACTTCCATTTGAATTACACAAGCAGATTTTATTTATAACTGTGCTTTTGGTCAATGCATAAAATCCATGTGGTGCATAGGAGACAGGAGCAATGATATCCCAAAGCAGTAAGAAAAATTCAAGACTTACCTTTCCCCCAAATCCTGATTATCCTTCCAAACTGATCAACTTTAAGACATTTTTTAAATAAGCCAAATACAATTTCATTCTTAAAAACTTACTTCCATTTTTGATAGACTGGAATATGCATGTGTTAGATAAATAATTTCTCAGAAGGCCAGGACTAGGTCACTGAGATCTTACTAAAATTTAAATTAGCTATTATAATAGTTTTCAAGGGAAAAACCCCACTTCCACTGAGAAAGAAGGAACTATTAAGATACACATATAAGGAGAATGCATCTCCATTCTCCTACAGTGTGGATTCCTTATTCAGTCCCACATGAAGTCTTATGGTGGTAACTTGACCAGTAGATAAAGTCCTCTTGATCTCAGTTTTCTTTGGTGATATAATCAATTTACCTGATTCTTTGAAATCCCAAATATCAAAGGAAAACATGTTTGGTTTCAGGTGTGAGAGCTGGATAGGTTTTTTTTTTCTTTCTTTAATTAATAATGGAAGATAGGGCGCCTGGGTGGCTCAGTCGGTTAAGCATTTGCCTTCAGCTCAGGTCATGATCCCAGGGTCCTGGGATTGAGCCCCACATCGGTCTCCCTGATCAGCGGAGTCGGCCTCTCCCTCTCCTTCTCCTCCCTGCTCATGCTCTCTCTCTCTCTCTCAAATAGGTAAGTAAATAAATAAATCTTAAAAAAAAACCACAATGGAAGAACATAAAGATGTTTCCTTGAATAATATAATCATTTAACCTTTGGGTATAGCACTTTATCAACTATAAATTGCTTTTACATGCTAAGGTCATACAAGCTTCACATCTTACTGATGAGAAGTTCAGGAGAGAGAGTTTCTGAAGACACATAGCTATTACCTTCATTATACAAAAGGAAAGAGTGGAACCTAGTCTAGAGCTGGGATTGGAGCTGGGAGGACTTTCATTACTCCACAATCCGCATGCCTCAACCTCAGTCCCTGAGTAGTTGGTCATCTAAAGCAGAGGTGAGAAAACAAAATCCAGCCCATGGATTTTATGGAACCCATTGGCTAAGAATGATTTTTACATTTTTAAGTGATGGGTGGGGGAAAGATTATGACATGTAAAAATTACATAAAATTTGAACTTTACTGTCCATAAGCAGTTTTATTGGAAAATGGCACTCATTCGTTTAGGTATTGTCTACGGTTGCTTTTGCCCTACAACAGCAGAGCTGAGTAGTTGCAACAAAGACTGCATGGACTAAAATATCAACTGCCTGGTCCTTTACATAAAGTCTGGACCCCTGATCTATACGATGTTTATCTTTTTGTGAAAGTTATGAAGTACTCAGCAGGAGTAAGTAAAAAAATCTGTCTTTCCTAATCCTAGCTGCTAGAGATACAGTTAGTAAATCCATTCTATCCTCAACAGACACTCTTCCAATTTTGTAAAGCTGATGCTCCACCCCATCTTGTTCCCTTATTTTTTATTCACACAGTTACAATAACCACTTTAAACATTTACTGAGGACCTATTACCATATACCAGGCACCATGCTAAGTACTGGAGATCTCATTTCTTCTAGGTGACAAAACCTAGAGTTTTGCAATCAAATAATTCACCCAAATTCACACAGCTACTGCAAACCTGTGCTCTTACTATACCAGGTTACATCAAGAAGCAAGACTTTGAACGTCCTCCTTTGTCAATATATCCCTACAGAATTGTAGAGTTTGAGGCCAAACATGAAACTTCTGTTTTAATTTAGGCAGAACCAAACAAAACAAGGCAACTAATGTCCATGACCTTATTACTAATGTACCTTAGTGTTTCCCAGCCTTGTCAAATAGCTTGTTAGACTGTAGTGTTTATTTACAATCGCATATCATTTCTGCCTCACAAGTAATATTGCCTCGATTAAAACAATACAATTCTCTATCTTTAGAAACAAAACCAGGCCTCAGGGAGGCATGTTAGATCAGTTAAAATAAAACAATAACCATCACTTACTGAGTGTTCACTATGGGAATTGTGGAGTATGATTTACATTTTCTTTCATCTAAACTTCACGGGTCTGTGAGGTAAGCACTGATCCCAATTTTGCAGATGAGGAAACTAAATCTGTCAAGGTAATTTACCCAAGGTGACAGGGTTGGAATTCAACAACTAGGTTTTCTGACTCCAAACCCAGGCTCTTAACCACTATGCAGAACTTTCAAATATCAACTTTCAATCGTACTATAGTCATAGTGAAGTCAGTGTTGCCTACAAGTAAAGATCAAGAAGTTAGAGAACTTATCCTGAAGAATACTATCACAATATTTACTATCACTTCAACTATACTTCTATAACACTTTTTTTCAAAACTAACACAAAACCCAGAATCCGAAGGTCAATTGTACGCGAGTATCATTTCTTTGCAATATACTTATTTCTTCCCCAATAAATGTTGAGGACATGAACCATCCTCATACCTTAGGCCTCCCTATCTCCTTATGGAATCACCGTAGAGCAGACGATGAACATGCCGAATGAACACAAATTTTGAACAAAATGTGACTTATACATGAATTCTGCCAGGAAAGTAGTGACTAGAAAACCTGAAGATAAGCATAAAGAACTAAATTTAGTTCATAAAGCACTGGTGGTAAATGTACTGTCTTCGGGAACACTTCTACACACATTAGATACAACTGATGTATAAGGTGCTACCCTCACCCAAACACTAATGGAATGACTTAAGTGATTATGTGTTTATAATCACAAAAATTAATACAGTGAATACTCAAACCTAAACTAGCAAAGAACAATCTAATGTAGAAACCAAAATCCCTCATCTGTACTTTTCCAACTGTTTGTCAGCCTGGAAGACCTGCATCTATCTTAGCCTCTGCTTAGGGACCTTCCCCATGCACACCACTTTCCCTCCTAGAAGGGAAACTTTGTGACAAGATTTTTTTCCCCTTTACTAAAATAGCCAAATGACCGAAATTAGTATCTTGAATACACTAGGGCACAGCTAATGTATAAAATGGCTGGAGAACGGAACGTTTTCAGTGCCAGCTAAGGTACACTGACCACATACAATGTAAGGGGAGGCAACAATCTTACCATTATTTCTGCAGAAGGCAGCCTCCTCCTGAGAACTTCTGCAAACACTTGCTTTTAAAAAGCAACAAAAAGTTGCTAGAAGGCTATCATTGTCGGGAATAGAGTGCCATTCTACGCCAATTGCAATAATGACACCTCAGAAGGTTCACCTGGTACGTATTAGGGGTTGACAAGGGCCATGGGGCTCTACTTGTTACATACGCTAACTTAAGCCCCTAAACACCCAGGTCCCTAAACGCATCATAAAGGTGAATCCAGAGAGTATACGGAAGCTTTAAGTCTCTTCCGAAGATATATTTATAACTATATATAAACAGAAAATCATTTATCCAAAAGAACAGAAAGCCTTCCAAGCTTCTGTACTCCCAGGAAGTCTACTTTGAAATACGTCAAGAAGTTACACCGAGGCATACAAAACATGTCTAAAGATCCAAACAGATAACTCCAAAACTTGAAGCTGAAGCTGGCAAACCTATCGTTCATAACTTATAGGTCTGATTGTGCCCCTTCTTACTTGCAACGCTGCGACGCAAATGAATGACGGTGTATCAGCGTTAAATTTAAATTTCCTGGCTCTGGCCACAATGCTAACCTAATTAAAGCATGTGGTCAACGTTTAGCATTTTCGGTGCGTTATTATGCATCGCTTTGGCTAGCAACAGAGTCGAAGACAGTTGCACTCTTCCTCTCGGCCCCCCACTCCCCAAACCGGAGGCAAAACCCTCTCCAAAATGCTTTATTAAATGGACAGGAAAAACACCCCCGCACCGCCTACAGACCCCGCCAAGCTGTAACAGGGGCTTCACACCCATTGCCCTCGCCAAGAACACTTTGGGCTCAGTCTGAGCAAGTCACTGGTGTCAGCGCTACTTCCCCACGGCCGGAGCCCCCCCAGACGCCCGACAACTCCGGGGAGCCCCCCCGCCCGCTGGGCCCCTCGGAGCAGCGTGGCTCGGGCTCCCCTCGCACACATTTCCCGTCCAGCAAACTGCGGCCGCGGAGGGGGAGGGGGCGAGGCGGGCGCCCGCGGCAGAGCCGGGCCGTCGGGCTGGACGCGGCCGGGCCGGGGAGGGGCGGCGCGGGGCGGCGGGCGGGGGCGGCCCGAGGGTCCGGGAGGGGGAGGGGAGGTACCTCGTACAGCTCCTCGGAAGCCATGGTGGGCGGCGGAGTTGCGGGCGGGCGGGAGGGGCAGGGTCGGGGCGAGGCGCCGCCGCCGCCGGGCGGCCGACACTTTGTTTCAGTTGGGTCCCTGCGTGGCCTGCGCTTCCTGCTCCCGCTCCCAGCGCCGGGAGCTCAGCACGGACGAGCCTCTCACACTCACTGCCAGTGCGGGCCGGCGGCGGCGGCGGCGGGGTTGTGCGCAGGAGCAGCTGCGCAACGCGCCCTCCGCGCCCCGCGCTCACTCCCCGGCGGGCCGGCTCGGGCTCGGGCTCATCGCGCCCCGCCGCGGGGCCGGGCCGGGCTGGGGCGGGCGCGGCGGCGGTGCACGGCAGCGCGGCTGGCTCCGTGGCTCCCCCTCTCCGGTGTAGTGCAAAAAGCTTCCTACTTGCGACCAAAAAACCTGCCCCGGCTACTGAGCATGCCCAGTGCGGCCGCCCGGGCCCGGCGGAGCCGCGCTCCCGCGCTCCGGGTTTTCGGACCGCCCGCGCGGGAGGGGCGGGGAGGCAGGCGGGGCGGGGCGGCCGAGGGGAGCAGTGGGCTCCGCTCCGGGCCGAGGCGGGCGGGCTGCCGCCTAGGGCGAGCCGGCAGGAAGGGGAGGAGCCAGGGAGCGGTGGGCGGGGCCGCGGCGAGGCGTGGGCGGGGCCGCGGGAGCGGTGGGCGGGGCCCCGACTTCTACAAGTCCCCTCCGGGGGGTAGGACTCGGCGGCCTCGCTGCCGGCCGGCCCGCCCCGACGTGGGTGCCGGGACCTGGGCTGGGCGGGACTGGGGGGGCCTCGAAAGTCGAGGCGGACGGCGGTGGTGCCCAGTGGGGCAGGCACTGGCGGGCCCGAAGTTGGGCAGGGGGCCGTGGGAGCGAGCTCCCCGCGTCTGAAGCCCACCGCCCCGACGGCAGCGGCTGAGCCGCCAAATGCGCAGCCTCCCTACAGGACAGCGCAGAGCTCCAGCTTCCGTGCGCCAGCCGCGGACGCCCGTCCCGGGCCAAGCCAACGCGCAGGGGCGGGCGGCGGGGCCAGGTGGAACCCCCCGCCCTAACACGTGCCCGCCTCCCCCGCGGCAGCCGCCAAGACCCGGAGCCCGAACCACGCGCCCCTCCGTGTGGCCCGGAGCGCTCCGGGCACGCTCGCTGGGCCGCAGGCCGGGGGTGGGAGCCGGGGGCGGGAGCCCGGCGCAGTCGAGGGCGGCGCGAGGGCGCGGCTGCCTCCACTCTGCCCGCAGCTTCCCCCACGCCAGGCCTCCCTGTTCCTCTTGGAGCGTCCACCTCCTCGGACCGAGAGCTGGGAGGAGGGGCCAGAATCTGGGCTCCGGGGAGGTCTGAGTTCTAATGGAACGAAGCTGTCAATGGTGGTTCTCCTTGGGGGGGGGGGAACGGTGAGGACAACAGATACGACAGGCCCTTGGGTCAGAACAGCCATGGGCTGGCCCTTCCTCCACTTCATAGGAGAGATGGGCAAAGTGGGGACGGCCCGCATGGCTAGCTCCCAGGGCACACCTGCCGGGAGACTGGACGTTTCCCCGTCCGTGCTGAATGAGGATGGGGCTTCCTGGCCTGACTCCCCCAAACAGCCGGCAACTCCAAACCGTCCTCCCGAACTTCTCCACGGGACACTACAGAGACATCGTTTCACATTCTCTCCTACTCCCTACACCTGGAAGCCACCTCCAGAGCCTACATTTTTCCCAAAGGGTCCTCTGCTGCCACTGCGTTCCTGGTGCTCTTATCTAGCGCTGGTTCCTAACCGACCTTCCACTCACCGCGCTCCTCCCACCTTTTCTTTTTAAAACCCAATTCGATTGGGCCCCAGACATACAGTTTAATAACCACAGGGCTTTTCACAGGCTCCGCGGAGTTTCCTTGCCCTCCCCACTCCCAGGAACAAGCACAGCACTTGCCCTTAAGTCACTTGAAGTCGAGTCACCATTCTCTTCCCGCCGGTGCCTCTATCAGCAATTCCCTGGGCCCGGAATGCTCCCTTTCAACCTTAAACTCCAGCTCCGACGTCACCTCAAAACATAGCCTTCTGCCTTCCAGGGCAAAATCAGTTACTCCCTCTCCAGGGGCTCCTGAAGCCCTCAGGTGTGCCCCAGGGAAGGGTTCATCTCAGTGTGTTTTAACTGTTTCGTCCACTCTTCACTCCCACCCCCATTTCTAGACTGTGACCTTCTCCCAGATCTCATCTGCAAACTTGACTCTCCAACCCTAGCACCATTCTCTACATACAAAATAAGTTTTATTCAGTGAGTTGGAATTCCAATGTTCACAACAAAGTCTGACACCCACACATCCAATTTCCATTATCAAATGCTTTGATAACAGAATCACAAATTAATGGCCTACCCTCTCAAGCTCTGCCCCTTTCCCTCATGGCCCAGTCAAATTCTGTCTGTCTCCTCCAAATATTTGCTCCGCTTTCCTCTCGCTTAACATTGCCAGTATCTGCTGCATTTAATTGTTGTCTCTCTAGCCACACAAATTCATCAATGAAAGTTGTAAACTCCCTGAAGGCGAGGACTAGGACTTTAAATATAATCTGTGAAGTCTCAAAGCAATTTGCTCACCTACCTACCGCAAGTGCCCAGGTACTTGCAGGAGATGGTTAAAAAGTCACACGAGTGTAAGAAAATATAAATAAAAAAGGGATCCTCGATACAAAATGAAGAGACACATCTCATATAAACCCATATGCAGTGGGATGATACAAATATAAACATAAACATTTCTTCTCTCAGGGCCACCACCCTAATTACTGCCACCATCCAAACAAAATTTGTTAAGCATTCTCAAGTTGCTCCACCAAGTGCTTAATGGTCTGTAATGTTAAATACATTGTCTCTAAAGTCTCCCATACTACCACTGCTACCCAGGAGAAGGGAAGAAGAAACAAGGACAGGAAGACATCCACAACAACCATACTCAGATATGGAGCTAGTACATTTAGCGTATATATACAATAATATTGCTAAGGTGACTTCCGTCAATTTGGAGAAAAAGGGGGGGGGTTACAGATTTAAGAAAGGTAACTCCAAAAAGCCAGTTTACAGGGAACTTTAATCCTGGTGACCTGGATTATTTATGCTGCTATGATTAGTCATCAATATTAAAAGAATAACCACTGGGTAGAGATCACCTCCATAACAAAGTGAGAGTAAGCCATTCTCCTAAACTCAGCTCCAGCTACCTCTCTCCTCCAACAATTAGTTGCTTTCCATCGTAATTAAGAACATTGGCGGAGGGGACCAGTACTGATATCCAAATCAGTGACGGACAACTTGAGCAAGTTTTCTACTGTCCATTTTGTTCCTTCTCATCTGCCCTCCACAGAAAACACCCACCACTTTACTGAATACTATTTTCCTTATGTATCTATTTTGCCTCAATTAGTTGAAATTGTCTTACTTTTAAGCAGATTTTGCTTTCTTCTTTCATTTTTTCAAATAATCAACATTTATTGGTGCTCATAACAGAAGTAAATATATCCAAGACCATATAATGTCTTTGAATTTATACCACCTTTTATGAAATAGTGAATCTTACAGTAGTTACCATGACCACGTGTGTGGGTGCTGTGAAAATACGTTCTCAGTGAATTGAGAATAAAAGTGAAATCACATCCCCAAAACACATCAAGGAAGATAGCTGCATTGTACCAAAAATACATGCAGCACAATAGTATGTACTAGTAAAATATATAAATCTTAAGGATTATAGATGTGGTCAACAAGTGAGATGACATACACACGTGATTAAAATACACATCTACGACAATAAGCCTCAGCTCTTACCTGACTCGAGCCAGCGGTGGAGACCAACATAAGGCAGTTTTCTCCTTTTCCAAATTTATCTGAACAATTGGTAATAGATTATCAGCACCACTTAACCGAAGGCTCTTCAGATCCAGAGTCGAAGCCATTTCCCATCTCAGCCGGACAATGACTAATCTCAAATTGGAGGGTCTCCTCTTTTCCCATTCAACCAACCAACCAGTCACTTCTTTCATTCTCCCAAGAATCTGCATTTCATCTACATTTGAATTCCAAGGCGCCCAGAGGGGGTGGAGGGAGGGGCTGGAAAGACAAAAGAAGCCCAAATCTAGCAGTTACTACTACTCTCAGCCCAAGACAGGTTGGGTGGCTGTGGAAAAGCTGCTGATAATGATTCCCTTCATTAATTTTGCACCCCAAAAGCATAATCTACCTTGGCTACCTTCTCCAAAACCCCAAATTTAACTGTGGTTTTTATGAAGTGACCTATGTTTGTGCATACTGTAGCCAAAGAGAAATTAAATACCATTCTTATTATAGAACATTCACTCCACAAAACATGGGGAAATTCCTAATTCAATCACCTACTCAAAAGTAAGTAAGAAATTTCAAGCCCGCGAAACAAAAGAGAAACATAGAGAACCAGTCATAAGATGAATTCAGATGCTAGGTCCCTTACTCAACTTGGAGCCAACCAGTTCTTCCTTCCCCCAAAACTTAAATTGGATACCAGTGCCCTTTTTCTTTTCTGGACAACCAATAATCTCTGATTCCTGGTTTCAGCTCCTGTTTCCTCCCCTGGCCAAATAGTCAATGTCCCCATTCTCCCTTCCGTATCCATCTTGGTCCCAGGTATTATTCTCTCTGGTATGTAATCCAGCTGCCACACTGTTGTTTCCTGGCCCAATGCCACCATTTATTTAATCTCTGCTCTAGTGATATCAATCCTGAGACTTCCTCACATTTGATTCCACCAATTTCTTCTTAGGCTAAAGTTCCACCATTGCCCAAACCTCATCAATTCACAATTAAGGGTTATTTTCTTTCTCAACTAGATCTGCGGTTTAATTGCTGTCCCCCCCCTTTTTAAGATTTTATTTATTTGATAGAGAGAGAGAGAGAGCGCAAGTGGAGTGTTAGGGCAGAGGGAGAAGGAGATGCAGGCTCCCTGAGCAGGGAGCCCGACTTGGGCTCAATCCCAGGACCCTGGGATCATTAGCCCAGCCAAAGGCAGACACTGGACTGAGCCCCCCAGGTGCCCCATTGCTGTACCTTTTTCTATTTAGCTAATGGTGATTCTACCAGAAGAACCCTTGTAGTATGTATTTGTTTTACCTTCTTTTGATTGAAACAATCAAGATTGAGAAAGTTTTCATTTATAATGTTATACATTACCCCGCCTTCTGGAAAAAGAAAATAACCAAAAGTCATAGAGAGGAAACAGCCTTGAGGTATTGGCATGACATTCTGGTCGACTTTTTACCAGGGCAGTAACTAATTCATTTTGGATTCTTCAAAAAAGCATCAAATGTAAATGTCCCTTGAATTCTTGTGGTGGATAATTATGTTTGTCACTCAAGTGAGA